TCTCGTGGTGGCAGATCACAGAGCACTTAAAAGCGATGCCTCAGGATTATGTTGAATCATGTTTCTCTTGTTTTATTTGACTACCAGGACTTGTGAGGCAGAGCGCCTGAATTACCTCCAGGCTACATTTAATTGTATAGACAAATGTGAAAATATAGCCTTCGGGTGAGACAACAGTTAAGGCACTTTGGGGCAGTGCTCTACTCTGTAAAACATCTTGCAGCGCAAAAGAAATGTGTGTTTTCTAGTGTTAATCTTTAACATTTCCCGTTCTGGTGGATCTGGTGAAATCTGAAGTGAGTGAACCTTTGATTTGTTCACGCTGTAGCAACGAGGAAATATTTGAGGTTCTGCATCTATGCTACGGGAAAAAGAAAAGAGGGAAAGACTGACAATCACCAAACACATCAACATGTTTTTAGTTCCTCAGTTGTTTTTTCAGCAGAGCTTCAATTACTTGGAATTTCCTTTAAAAAAAACAAAACAAAACATTACAATATGTGAATGTAATGATGACTATAAAACTCTTTGTCAAGGAGAATGTTTTCTGTTATCCCAGTCTCCTAGTATCAAATTCTAGGAATGTCTTTTTCAGTAGCGCAGACATTCTCCAATGCAAACAGAATATCAGTGAGCAAATGTGTTATAGAAGAGGCTCTGACGCACTGCTGTGCCTTCAGGATGCCACCTGTCTGGATGTGGGTGGATATCATTGACGTTGGCATCAGCATCATTATCATCAAGGTCTTCCTCTCCCTGCTCTGAATCATTGTTTCAAAACGTATAGTGATAGCTGAGGAGAGTCAAGTTTCCCCGTTTCCTGTAGGGATGAGTGCGATCGGACATGTTTAAGGTAAATTATTGCCGGGTGTCTGTCCACTTGCTGCCTCTGTGACACAACAAACTCTCTGGGGAAATGTGGCTGCAACAATAATAGCTTGATGAAAAATGGCAAAAAAAAAAAAAATCTAATAAAATGAAGGGAAAACGTTCACAGATTTGCTGGATAATGTCATTGGCAGCATTGTTGAAACTTAGATGGAGCAAAATGTGATGGAGTGACAGAGTGTCCGCTAGTTTAGGGACCAGTCACAACATACCAAAAAGGAAATTTTGCTTTTTTTTTTTGCTTATTCTCTCAGAGCAAAGGTGTAAATCTGAAATATACAAATTGTTCAACTGTAAGAACCAGAGAAAATAAGTGAATCTTTGCATGCAGGGAGCTGGAAACAGCAAAAAGCTCAACGTTTTGGTGGATGAATTATGAATAAAAATTCTGTGGCTGTATAATGCTCGTGAGAAAATTTAATTTCAAGTGCTGAAAAACTATAATCAGAGCGTTTCTTATTGACAAATTGTTGGAAGTATGAGTCAGGATCTGTTCAAAATGCTGAATGAGAAAAGGTTGCCAAGTCCAGTCCTTCGCATCACATCCAGGGCAGCTTTAAAAATCAAATGCTCAACATTTCATCAGTTAATACCATTAAAAATTAAGCAGCTATATAATGCTAGTGAGAAAAATCTAATAATCACATTTCAAGGGTGGAAAAACTGTAATCAAAGTGTTTCATACTGAACAAATTCTTGGACGTATGAGTCAAGATCTGTTGAAAATGCTGAATGGAAACTGTAAAACAGTTGCTACGTCCAGTCCTTCACATGACATCCAGTGCAGCTAATTACTAATAAATATTAAGTAGCGATGTAATGCTAGTCAGAAAAATGTGTTGAAACTGTAATCGAAGGGTTTCATATTTATAAATCCTTGAAGGTATGAATCAAGATCTGGTAAACGCGCAGAATGGAAAACTGTAATAAGCTGTAAAGTCCAGACCTTCGCATCACATCCAGAGCAAACACTCAGAGTTATGTGCGCTGCTGTGGGACAGATTTTCTTTTTGTTGGGGTCAGACGAAGGGGTCAGCTACCACACATCATCATCATCATCAACATGTGTGTGTGTGTGTGTGTGTGTGTGTGTGTGTCGGATCAGACAGGCGTCAGAGGTCCCAGTCGCTGCTTGATCTCTGACCCTCATATAGGCGGTCGGTCACACCCAGTTTAGCTTTAAGGCCGAACGTTGCGTAAGTTTGTGCGCTGAAGACTTGAGACTACAGCAAGCCCCAGCCCCTCAAGGCGAAAGAGGAAAAGAAAAACAGAGACTCTCTGCCGCACTTCTTGATCAAATACATCCGGTGTGTATTAATTAGAGCCATAACCGAGTCCAACACATCCTTCTCGTCCCTCTCTCATCTTCTTGACTAATTCGTTTGTCAAAGATATTATTGCGCGTCATTAAGAAATCGATATTCATTTCACTTAAATGGCCATTGAGCAGCATCACTCTGGACTTTTAAACACTCTGTATGTCATATCTGTGGCTCCTGAAGCACTTTACGACCAGCACGTAACACACGCAATGCTGGTCGAGTAAACGGAAGGCAACGGCTCCAAGCTTCCTGAGCGACTGTTGATAGAGACGCATTTCCTGATTCCCTCACCGCCCTAAATTTTAGACCCATAATCGTACAAAGACCCTTAAAAGTTTGCTAATTATCCAAGTAGATCTTGTTAAAGTAACAACCAAGCTGAGCCCTTATGAACTGAGTATGTTGGCCGGCTCCCTGTTTGAACGTTTCAGAAGGCGAGCACCCTGCAGTGAGTATCTGACCAGAAAATGTCGAAATAATGGTTGTTTTTATCCACTTTGCTAAACTACGAGATCTACTCAACTTCTGTCCAAGTATAAATTGCGACTTCTACTTTATTGCAGCTTGGAGTTTCTCTTTGAAAGCTCTGCCAAGTGTGCTGCACAACAATCTATGGAACAGATTTCTTGGAAGTGCTCCTCATGTAAAGTGAAGGTATTATGTAGTCACTGGAAAAACATGTGAGGCATTATGGCAGCTGTTTAAAATCACCAAGCCGAATTTTTGGTTTTGTTTTAAACTCTTATTTCACGTCTCCTTACGGTATTTCCTCATATTCTGCACGCTAAATAAATCTGACAATCGTAGTTGTTATTGTGTCAAATATAAAAGCTGTGAGCAATAACAAGTCAACTTAGGTATGAATCATCTTTCAGAGTCCAATGTGTTTAAGGTTTGCAGATTTTTAATGCGCGAAAACTCTTTTAAGAACATTTCAATTTGAGGTCTCGCCCTCGTCCTACCTTGTTGGTCACAGCATTGATAGCCAGAGTCGGGGAAGCTCCTCCTGACATGATGCAGTCCATCCTCAGGGACTCTGACTCCAGACTGTAAGGAGTTGATGCCTGCAAAGAGAATAGAGGAGTGAAGAAAAGGATCAAAACAATCAAATATAATGTCAGTCATCATGTAAAAAATTTAATTAAAGATGCTGCTTCAGCGTCAGGATCCTGGTAATCCTGAGACATTTGACTACAACAGAGCTATCGTTATGTTATTAGTAACATCTGTGTTTTTCTGACTCTGACAAGTCTGCAGCGAAAAGGTCTTTGATAAGCTAAAGCTGTGCTCATTCCTTCAGCTCATGTAAAACATTCACATGGTAAGACAGAGAGGATTTACTTGCAGCACTGTGCACAGTTTTCGGTGCTAAATTTAAACTATTTTTAATTAACTTTATGCAAACTGCAATAAAGAGGCGCAACCTAATAAAATCAATATTTGGTGCAACCCCAAATGTGCATTTATAAGCGCAGCAGCCTCCTTGCTGAACTTGCACAATATTTTGAAGGTACTTTTTAAAAAATATTTCAGCTCTGAAAGAACTTGATATGTCTCATTATCTGTGGGTCTTTCCTGAGAAAGGGAAGTTTGTGTTTGCTGTGCTGTGATTCCCCGCCATCTGTGAGCCTAAATTCAAGCTGTTTGTATTGATATGAGCAGCGCCGACCATAAGCTCAGTACATTGATTTAAATCAGTGAATTGTTGCGCCCTGGGGAGATGGCTGGAATGTACAGAAAACATGATAAAAAAAAAAAAACAACAGTAAAGTAGCAGAGACCATTTTTCTAGTTTCCTTACGAGCTGCAGGACTGAAGACCAAAAAAAGCCCCACAGTTACAAATGCCTGACTATTTACCTGTTACACACCTGTCTCAACCTTTTATGAACCTCATTTATGCTAAATTCACCCTCTGGGCTGCAAAATTAACACTAAGGGCAGTAATTATCAAAATTACTAGAAAGTTATCCTGCATCAGTGTCTGTGGTATTTGATGAGTAATCGGGCTGCACAATAAAAGGGCAAACAATGAGATTGCAAAATTTTTGTTTTTCTGTCAGTATATTGCAATAAAATAATAAAAATACAGGAATTTTCACCATATGACTTGAAAAACTATTTGGAAAGAATTAATCATTGTAGTTGGATTGCAATTATTTTGTAGGGGGAGTGCATCCGCATAGAAAATAAAACGTTTGTTTAAAAAAAAAAAAAGCTGTTTGGAACCTTTGCCAGATGGTGTAACACTGGCAACGCATCCAAAGTAGTTTTTCGATTTAATTGTATTCAGATCTGGATTTGCACTCCACATTCAGAGCTTCGTGGTGCCGCTTTAAATGGTCAAACAAATTAGCTGTGTTGCCTTGTGTGGTGGCAAATAATTGCAAGACCCTGCCGACGCTGTTTCAGGTCCTTTTCTGCAGCTGAAATATTTCCATACAACTTTTGTGATTTTAATTTGCTTCTTCAGCATTTCCGTCCTTTAACTCGCTCATTTTGCTGCAAATATGTGGATTCTAGATGTCAAAACACTCGGCGTCTTGTAAATAAAACTTCAAAAAAAAAAACTGCATCCAAGAACTCATAAATTGGAGTAAATTATGCTCTTTCAGATCAGACAGTCTTCTTTTGTAGATTAGTCATGGTAAATAAGAACCGAGCGAGTTTTCTTTGGTGTCAGGCAGCAAATAAAATTGTAGCAAGATCTATTTGAGCTAATTTGCGCTTCTTGCAATGTGACTGTTGCACGTGCACACATAGCAGTGTCGCTGTTTAAATGGTATAAAGTGCAACCCTGAAGAACAAGTGAAGCAACATATATAGTATGTAGTACTTTCTGTATACTCATAGGCGCATAAATATTTTTCCAACTGTGAGTCTTGTCTGTTAATACAGAACTTTTTCAAATATGCTCGCCGCTGATTGGAAATATCCAGAGGAGATTGGAAATGAGGAGGCAAACGAAATGTGACAAAGGTTATGAGAAATTTCGGCATGCTGCAAGTTCACGATTCTTTAGTGAGCGTCCTGAATCACCACCATGCCCCAGGCTCAAACTATGTGAACTAGTCGAGGCGCGCTTCATTTAAATTGCTGGACACTTAAACAGCCAGGAAAGTGGACACATCACTTGCACTTGATAAGATAAATCAAGCCATCCTCATGCATTATTCACGGCTCTAAAATGTATTCAGCAGCAGTTCATTTTCCGCTGTCCTCACAAAGAGCTAAAGGAGGGTTAACTGAGTGTGAGAATATGAGGAACTATTCAAAGATCGATGAAGGGCTAAATTGACGCCCGCCAAATGGAAAATAAAAAAATAAATAAAAAAATAAATAAAAAAATTGAGGAAGATTTTTTTTTTCCTCCTTGTCTGACTCCTTTCAGGGTTCAAGACAGCTTGCCTGCCTTTCCCAAACTGCTTACAGTAAGAGGATTGGTTGGTAACAATGCAATCTTTAATTTATGATAAACTCCAAGCAAAACGGGTTGTCGGTTCCCTGGCGGAGGCACTTAAAAAGAAGACAACGGCGAGGTGAAGAGAGGAGTGAGGAAGGCTTGTGAGAGAAGGGGGAAGAATAGGCAGCGAGATAATTGAGTGGTGACAGACAGGCAGACAGACAGGCAGATGGAAGGGCACGCAGGAAATGAAAGAGAGTGATTATGCTAAGGGCACCGGAGACACAGGTACTAAACTAAATGTAGACTGCCTGTCTACACACATATACAATGCATTTATGCGGTTGACGTTTAGCCCCGCTGCCAACTTTAAATCTTTGACTGTGTAGCCTAGGTGCAACAAAACCCCAATGAAAACAGTAAGACATATTTAGCCCACCTTTTTTTTTTTTTTTTTTTTTCAATATAACATATATTATATACAACAATAATAATTATTCAGTCAATTGGATTTGTTTTTTTAACAGACGGTAATACTGCCATAAATCTTAGCACTTAAAACCTCCCTGTTTCTTCTTAGCCCATGTGACAGCCCACAGTGTGTCTGCCAGCGGTGCAAGTGAGGCGTAAGAAAAGGGGTCGAAGGGCCCATCCATGTAAGACGAGATGACAAGGCTCTGAATTAATTAATGTTTGTAATAAAAAAAATCGTTGGTGAAGAAAATATGTCTAACGGCAGCCCCGGGGCCTTCTGTGGTAATTAACTGGAACACAAGCCTCGAATACTCGCCCTCCTCCTTCTTCTTGCTCTTAGTCCGTCTTATTTCTTTTTCGCTCCTCGGAGCTCGACTTTTTCCTCTCTTTACCTTGATGTCTTTTTCTCTTTTTCTTTCACACTTCTTTCTATTCCCCCCCCCCCCCCCTTTTTTTTTTTTTTTTTGCCCCCCCCCCATCAACACTTTCTGTCTGCTTTTTTACCTCAATTCTTCCTCCAATGAGCAACAGTGATTGTGCACTTTGCCGCTCCACGCCTGCATGAGCTCCCCGGAGAGGAGAAGACTAAAGCAGCAATATGGGCAGAGAAGGAGAGACAGAGGAAAGTGTGTCAGACAAACAGAAAGATAATGATCAAGATGCACAAACAGTGACTGAGATGCTGGATGAGAAAAAGGAAGAGGGATGACCGTGATGAAAGACTTTGCATGGTTTCTCTAATGCAACCAAGTAGTCTGGGGGGGAAATTGAGAAAAAAAAAAATCTCAATGGGTCAGCTGCTGAATATGATGAGCCGCAGTGTGCAATGAAAAATAAAGGGAGCACCTGAACATTGGAGTGAATCTCCCTTGTAGGCCTTGCTGAAGAGGATTTGATGCAGCAGATCTTCTGCTTGGTCCACTACACCAGCTGATTGCACTAATTGGTGGCTTCAGCTTGGCTGAAGAAAGCAATGTAATGCTATCTGAAGTCTAACATTGACACCGACTGTCAACACTTACCACCACTGAACTACAGCTTTTGTTGTATTTAAAAAATAAAATAAATGTTTATCTGCCTGGTGTTTTCTGCAGAAACTTGACTCAAAGTCAAGAGCGCCTTGTACAGATGTATAACATTTGTCTTCTTGTCGAGCATTTTATTTAAGCTCAGCTGAGGAATTCTGTTTAGTGTGTTGAATACAGTTTTGGTTTGCAAGCAGCATTGACAATCAGCGTGCTAATCAACTTTAAATTCAGTCACCTTTACTCCTACTGCACGAACAGAAGTTTCCGTATAAGACAAAGGATTAACAATACAAATATACAACAATCATTAGCAACATTGAAACCACTGAAAGGTGACGTGAATAACACTGATTATATGACGCCTGTCAAGGGGTGGAATACATTAGGCAGCCAGTGAACAGTGACAGTGACTGAAGTCGATGTGTTGGAAGCAGGAAAAATGGGCGACTCTAAGGATCTGAGTGACTTTAACATGGTTTGGATTATGACGGCTGGGCAACTGGGTCAGAGAATCTCCGAAACAGCAGGTTCTGTGTGGTGTTTGTGGTATACGGTGGTCAAAGGCGGTCCGAGGTAGGACAACCGGTAAACTGACAACAGGGTCATGGGGGCCCAAGTCTCATTGACACTCATAAACAGTGGTCCAAATCCACAGAAGAGCTATTGAGCACAAAATGCTAAAAACCTTAATGCTGGCTAAGAAAGAAGGGTGTCAGAACACACAGAATATTGTCAGAGCACCCACAGTGACCCCTGTCCATCGCTAAAAGCACCTACAAAAAATGGGCACATTAGCGTCGGAACTGGATCATGGAGCAATGGAAGAAGATGATCTGATCTAATGAACCATTTTTGGGGATGTAGGCAAAGCAGTGTGATGCTCTGGCCATTTCTGATGGGAAAGTTTGGGTCGTGGCATTCATATGGATGTTACTGTGATGCATGTCGCCCACCTAAACATCATTGCAGACCACATATACCCCTTCATGGCAGCAGTATTCCTTGATGTCAGTGGCGTCTTTTAGTAATGTGTTAGGAATGGTTTGAGGATCACAACAACAAGTCCAAGGTGTCCACTTGGCTTTCAAATTGTTTTTGAAGTAAGATGGATAACTTCCCCACCTCGCAACATACAGGACTGAAAGGACCTGCTGCTAATGTCTTGGTGCCTGATACTAAAGGATGCTTTTGGAGGTGTTGTGGAGTCTATGTTTTGATGGGTAAGGGCTGTTTTTGTAGATCTAAGGGAACCTACACAATGCTACGTGTGCTAAATAGTTTAATTGTTGTGGCTGATTGTGTAAATTACTAAGCAATAAAAAAGTATATATTAAAATCATCAGTTTACAACACTTACAACATGTAGCAGAATGCACAAGGTAAAAACAAAAACAAAAAAAAACAAATAAAACAATACAATCTATACAAAAAGAATGTAAAACTTAAAAAAAAAAAGAAAAAAGAAATGGAGTAAAACCAGCAGCCAATCAATGCAAAATGCACAGGCTGTTGAAAAGACACTAAGAGTGGATTCCAGCAAACTCAGACTGAATTAAAAGCAAGAAAGAAAAGATGAGTCTTTAATTTTGAATAAAAATTGCCAGTGGTGGTACAGGAATTAATGTGAAACATCAGAATGTTCCAGAGCCAGTGCGGTAACCAAAAAGGCGCATTTGCCTCTGGTTTTGAGGCGTGAGTGGGGGACTGAAAGGAATAATTGTGGTGATGACCTAAGTGGCCTGAGGGCAGAAAACAGATTTCGCATACTGCTCATGTATTGTGGAGCTAAACCATTAAGGGCTTTAAAAACAAATAGTAAAATTTAAAAATCAGCTCTGTTTTTTGATTGGTAACTGGTGCAAATGAGTCAGAACTTGAGTTAAATGCTATTTTTAAAAGTCTGGCAGCTGCATTATAAACAGACTATAGACAGGCAGGGTTTGACTGGGTCAACCCCATATACAGGGAGTTACAGTAGTCCAGCTGAGAGGCAATAAAATCGTGGATAACTGTTTCCAGACCCATGTAGGAAAAACCCTTTCAGCTTGGCGATGTTTCTGAGCTGACAGAAGCTGCTCTCTGCAGTACTGCTAACTAGTTTATTCATTAGAAGAGTGCAGGAAGACACAGAGATGTTTAATGATATTGGGCACATTTTCATACAGGAGGCCGAGCACACAGCTAAGGCTATTAACAGAGCTGGGCGAACCACATGAAATTACCTCAGTTTTATTTTCATTTAGTTGATGGAAATTCCTCACCATTCAGCAGTTGAATTCATCAACTAGTCAGGGAACAAGTGCAGTCAGTTGTAAGTGGTTTGTAAAACTGGGTGTCGACAGCATAACAGTGATACGAGATATTGTAGTTTTGACGAAGATGGAAAAAGGGGAAACATGTTTTGAGAGAACTAAATGGGCCCTAAGATAAAGCCATGGGGGATGCCAATTTAATGGCAGCAGGGGATCATGAATAGTAGCAAATTATAAAATGAAAGGGTTTTGTTTATTTCGGTTGGACTCTGTAGACTAATTTCACACTCCAGGTGTCAACATGTTCCCCTTTAACTTCGATGCACTTGGTCCACCGATGTTTACGCTTGACTGTCCCTTCATAGAAAAAGATCAGATCTCAAGCTTTCAGATCCTCCTCGACAGCATGGATGACTTCATCATCAGTCTGAATATGGCGACCACGCAAGTTCGATTTCAGTTTGGGAAACGGAAGCCAGATGGTGCACATTGGGTGAGTAAGGTTCATGGGTTCAAAGCCAAATTCGGCTGTTTCTGCCACCTGTGCTGTGTGGACGGTTGTCCTGAAGCAACAGCACACCAGCTCCAAGATTTCCTCTCCTTTTTTACTTTGGCTGCTTTAAACGTTTGAGTTTTTGTGGACAGTGATAAAAGACTTTGTTCTGATCTGAAGCTGAAATGGGGATTACACCTTTTATTTCAGGGTGAAGCCGAGAACTTTTTGAAGCACCTTTTCAGGCCCAATTCATGCTTTCAACATAAATTTTGCCATCTGCCCAAGTCCGCAAGGATCTGGGCATACACCTCTGCAGATGTCTGTGTGCAGCACAAAATCTGACACCGCAACTGCACTGACTGTACACGTGCCTGGAAAACAAAACAAATGCTTGTTTTGAGGAAAAGCTGTGTGGGAAGATTTGACTTCATCCACACCTTTATAATGCGTGATTAAAAAAGTTGTAATTGAAGCAGTTGCTGCAAGACTTGGGGAGATGCTTTGATTTGCACATGATCTACAACAATGGCACCCACACACAGTGGAAAGGCCCAGATTCTCCAAAAACGCTGTGCTATGTCCGCCTATTGCGCTTGGGATGGGAAGGAAACAAACTCCAGCTGCAGTTAATTCCATAGCGCTTGGCAAACCTCAGAAACAATCACTTTCACGGTGCTACAGCCCAATCTGTCACTATCCGCTACACTTTGCTAAAAAGCGCAAATTCACAGCCAGTTTTTTCCGAAATATCTGCAAGAGTGTTTGATGTGAGGGGTAGCAGACTGATGAAAACCCTATTTGTCGTATGAACAGAACCATGTGTGCATCTGCTGTCTGTCTTCAAATTCCACATCGGTCAGCACGCGCAGTTCCAAAAAACCTTGACGTGGCCTCAAGTGTGCGTCAAAACAACAGCGGTGACAGCAGACGGAGGTGACACAAGACTTGTAATACATCACGGAGCTCACTCTGCTCTCCTTTTGTATTCAGATCCTCAGGTTAATGACTGAACACCGGTCGCGTTCTGCCAAGTTGATGCAGGGTTACATATATTTATAGCCTTCGCTGCTGTCAATCAATTTCTCAAAACCAATTTTCATTCCTACCTCAGTTGTTCTCACATCTATCACGTAGCTTGTTCCTGCTGTTTTTATGGCATCTGGAAAACTGCAACTCTAGGAGCCTGTGGTTAAAATGGATGAATATATGGTTGCAGCGTTGTTTAATTGCAACGATCGGCTGTGGTTTTGTCATGAAAAAAAAAAAAACACACACACATACTGCTAATTGTGTATTTCTATAAGACGGAGGCATTTTTTTCTCCTGTTGGAGGGAATCCAGTAATGAATGAGTCAATATCAGTCAAACAGCACACAGTAATGATAATCCCATCAGTTCGACCCAGCCAGGGGGAAATGGTGCGTGATCTCTGAACTTCTGTGGTGTTAAAAATGTAAAAAATTACACAAAAAAAAATTGTAAGTTTTCGGGTATGGCAGAGATTTACTGCAGCTGCTCTGCTAACGCGCTGCTCACGCTGTGCCTCCTGTGTAGACAAGGTGTTACACCGTGTCTACTCAGCAGCTTCAGTGCTCCATCTGTGTCTATACGCGAGGCGTTCAGGCACGGCACACAATCGCTGTAGTTTATGTGCAAAACAAAGGCAAACAGACTTGAAGTGTATCGAAATCGGGCTGCGTTTAGGACTGAATGATGCTGCAAATGCTTTCTGCCATTAGACCGATAGAGACTCTTCAAACATGCATAACAGGCAGAAAAGGAAAAAATAGCAAAAACTAGGATAACTGCCTTGCAGTTGTATGCTTCAACCAACCAGTAAGTTTAACAGATAGGATTAGTATCAGCAATTTAGTATTTGTAAATGTCAGATATAGGGCCTTCTGTTCCTGAGTTATAATGTTGAATAATGCCCAGAAATGTCATACTGAAGTTCACCTTTAACCTTTGGGATATAAAATGTCATCAGTTGATCATTCAATTATACATTTGTGAGAAATTTGGTCATAATTAGCGCATGCCTTCTTGAGTTATGACAAAAACCGTATTTCATCATTGGCCACATTTGTGCCAAATTAGAAGAACTCTCCCTTAAAGGTGTTGCTGATCCATCCTGTATACGAGCTGAGTTACGCCCAAAAACGTATCTGCGAGGCCACCGTGCCTTTCACCACTGAAATCTAATCAGTTCAACCTTTGAGTTCAAGTATCTAATTTGAAAAAGGTCTCTTAATGAGTTAAAGAAACGCTGCGTTAATGAGAACGGAGTTGACAGCCTGAAAACTTAATGCCTCTGGGCTCAGGTGTCTCTGGTGTAAAGTCGTGAAAAAAAACATTCAAAACAAGGAACAAGATTATAACCTGCATGACACTTTCTTTTGCATGACATTTTGTACAGGAACTCATGATCCCCACGTGTTGAACAAAGCTGATGTTTGTGGGTTTGAGTGAAAACTACTGATTGTAATGGCATTTGGTCCATGCCACTCTCAGGGCGAACAACAATAACAATAATAACTCTGATTTCTCACTTTCTGTGTCACGTCGTCAACTGTTTAAAATCTTAATTTGTGTCGTACTTTCACATTTGAGCAAATACCTGTCATCAGTCTTAGCTGCGCTTTGTGTTTAGGGCTAATTAGCTGATGTGAGAAAAGTCTCAGAGAGCCGCTAGCACAGCTGTAGACTCTTGTTTTTTCTCTCTCTGGTTGTTTTAAAGGCATGTTATTGGCCTGCTGTTCTATCCAGGCATCATTACAGCATGGGAATAGGAGACAGATTGTTAGTCTGTTCACACATCTCTGTAGCATCTCAGGTGTACGGAGCAGCTTTTCCCAATCAATTGTTTTTCTGTTCATGTTTCCATTCTTAGAGCCGAATGAACGTTTCCTCAGACAATGCCCACATTGTCAACAGAATCATCGCTTCTTCTCCTCTGATGACGCTCGTCTCAAGAAAGACTTCATTCAAGAATATGGAAACACATCTTTACTTACTTTGACGTCAGGTGAATACTGAACGCTGTACCGCCACGATGCAACCTCAAGTGTCAAAAGAAAGAGTGTAGAGAAAGGTACAGTTCGTACTTACTCGTTCTCCGGAGCGTGGTCTCTTCTTTGGCCGGCTGGGGACTGTGTCTTCTTTAGGATTGGTGTCTATGGCCCAGTAGGAACCCTGAATGGTGACCCCAAAAAAAAAGACAGACATTTCATGTTTGATGGAAGCTGCTGTGTTTGTGTATTTCTCCAGTGCTTTGCATTGCTCTGTAGGTTTAGGTACAAATTTCAAATTCTTTTTCATCTCTCTTTAATAAGGAGTCAGTGGTGGAAAAAGTCCACGAATCATCCCTTCAAACAAAAATAGAAACGCCACAGGGGGGAAAACAGAAAATGTTCTATTACAAGTAAAAGTAGAGAATTTAGATTTCTACGAGTGGAAATACAAAAGTGTACCTTATGTATCGAGAATAAAGGCAGTAAGGATTCAAATAGTAATGCATTCATTTGTGATAAATGCTGCATTGCACTGTTGCACATGGAGATAGTAAACAAGAGGCTAGCTTCATGTTTTGAATGCAAAAGCCAGATTTTCAAGGTAACTTCCCAGACAAGAGCTTAAAATTATCTTTCAATGTGGTGCTTGAGCACATTTAATTAGTAGCTTTATTTGTCTTTAGACAGTTTTATTGAGGCTCACAAATAAAAGCATGTATTGATTACCCATGTACAGTGACAAAACCACAAGGCACATAGGTTACAGCAGACAGCATATGAAAGATATAATGTCACAACAGTATGAACACCAACACAAACACACACAGTAGAGATTAGTGGAATTCAGGAGCCTCGCAATTAACCAAAAATGTACTTAAATCGATCACCTTGGAAAGGAGCAGCCAACCAAACCTTAATTATCAAAAATAACTGCACATATAAATACAGCAATATGTATAAAACCAAATCTAAAACTGGTAAATCTGCCACACTGGTTTATAGAGCAGTATTTCCTTAGTGGAGATATATTTGTTAAAACAAATCTGTATTGAGGTTGTTGGCTTCTTTTGGTGCAATGTCAGATTCATTTATTTTTTTAACTCCCAAATATCCTTCATTTATTGTGCTGTGAAATCTGCGCATATGCAAGAGAAGCAGTCAAAAATCTCACCGTCGTGGACACAAAAGATCTTTGGAGGGTCTTGGCACCCATAACCAATCACTCAAACACCTTTTAGACGATGAAAAACATCAGCTCAGGGATGACCTTCAAAGTGAAGTCTGGGTTGAACTTTTTTTCAGGATATTTTCTCCAAAACCATTTCTGACGGTAGTCAGTAGTCAATCAGTAGTCGAATCCAACCACTGATCTTAGAATACATTTGAAAAAACAAACCTGTTCTATTGTGTTCATCGACAAACAGCGTACATCACGGCACTGGCCTTTGATTCTTCTTTTTTTAAATGTAAAAGCTTCTTCCTGACTTTGAGGGACTTTGAAATACTCAGAACTTCTTCTATTTTATATTTTCAAAAAACAAAAAAATGAAAATAATTTAGTAGTTCTATGCTGCCGTTTGATTTTCCTACTTTATTCATTAACATATTCTTTTACCACAGTTTTAGATAATGTCGCATTTAAGACTGGAATACTAGAACACACATATATCATTAATTACAGTCTGTACCTGTTAACAACTGCTATCTCTTTGTCTATTTATGTCTGAGCAGGGTTCAAATCCATCACATTTCCACAGTATTTCCATCTGCTTCTGATGCAAAATTAACTCTTCTTATTCAGGCTACCACAAGTCTCTCATGTTTCTCACTTCTTCCTTGCGAGGCTGCTTCAGTCTCCTTAACGGGAGGAACTAAGTGTGACTAAACAGAAAAAAAAAAGTGCAGTAGATGGATGCCTCGCATCCGATAAAACCAGTGCATCTGTTGTTCTTCCAGTTCTGTTTCAAATCAGTTTTCACCCGGTTTAGTTTTCCTATGGTGCGTGCATGCTCCTGCTTCCTTTCCCCTGAAAATCCACTGAAATCCTTTTGATACACAATGTTAAAACACAGCAGCCTCCAAAATAAACACATACAATGAGAAAGGAGGAAATCAATTGCTTTTAGGTCCTTGATTTCCTCCCGGTCTGATTTTTTTTCCCCCCCTCTTTCATTTTTTCCTCTTCCCTCCCAAGGAGGTCCAAAGCTGCAGACTGAATTGAAGAGGTTCATCTAGGCCACACATACACACAGCTCATCTCTCAACATATATCTCCCCTATTCTTGCCTCTTCTCCTCCCCCTGTCTCTCAGTCCCACATCACTGAGCAGTACACAGCCAATTAAAGTTAGCACATGCATGATTTAGCTTCTCCCCTCTCTCTGTGGCTTCAAACAGAGCATGTCCATTCAACTTCTCCACACACAGATGACCTCCCCCCCATGCCGAGGTATCGACCACTTCGATCCACGGTGTGAATTAAGGTGCTAGTCAGGTCCAAGTCAGGCTAATCAGGGGGGAGCCGCTCTCTTTGTGTCTTTGCAGACTATAGGCCTCCACTCAAGCCCAAGGATTCTGTTTGAATTATTTAAACCTTCTTCCCCCCTAATTCATTTTTCAATGGCTCCAAAATCCCCGCAGCCTGGAGAAACTCCCTCCTCCTCCTCCTCCTCCACCTTCTCCTCCACCCCCCCTCCATCCCCCAAAACAAAATGAGCCAGAGTTTTGAGAGCTCAATGAAAAGTTTTTGGCTTGTCGGTTTTTGTAAAAAAAAAAAAAAAAAAAGTAGTGGAGTGTCTCTCACAATAATCCTGTGATGAGTTGAAATGCAGACATTTGAGCTTTTATTAAAAAATCTTGTAAGGACAGGCTTCAGTGATCAACTGTAATTATATACTACCCCCCCACCCCTCCTTGTCTAAGCAAGTCCTTTCGATTCGGCACCAACAAGGACTTGACAAATTGTTGTTATCAAACCGGCGCTGCTGTAGTGGCCGTGGCAACTGTGCTTCCCAACCACAGAAGTAGCAGCAGTGAAACATATCTAAAGCTTCCTCCGATTGTGTCCGCAAGAGAGAGAAACAGCCCCTAATAAAGCATAACAGATGCGTGAAAGGCCTTGCATCTGAAGGAGTGTACCTACATATACTTATTATTCATTACTCCCTGTACCACATTATTACTTGGCAGAATCAATATCGTAGGAGCCACAGAAAACAGAGAAAGCGGCATTAGGCATTCAGCACAGCCGGTTATGGAGTTACAAATTGCTTTTAAGTGCAGACACTCTTTGTGTATGTGTGCGTGTGTGTGACAAAGAAACAGTGTGTGTCTTCAGGTTGCACTTATGCACAAGTGTGCGCGCGCACACATGTGGCACGAGGGCGACAAAACACGTGAAGTCACCTCGGCCTCATTCGTAAGTTCTCCGAGACAGAATTGCATTTTCATTGTGTGCCGCGGCGTAATTCAGGCTGAGCTTTTCAGTCGTATTATATTGTTCAGGAAATACTTACTTTTCCAGGGTCGTCTTTGGAGCGAGGCACTTTGAGAAAACACTTGTTCAAGGACAGGTTGTGTCGTATAGAATTCTGCAGGGAGAGACAGACGGAGGAGAGAGGAGAGGGAAAGAAAGAAGGAGGAGGAGGAAGAAAAGAAGGAACAGGACAAAAAAAAAAACAATAGTTAGAAAGTAAATTAACACTAAATCCACTTTTTCAAATAGGCAAACTACATTTATAGTTACTTTATTACTTTGTGTATCGATTCTTGTCCCATTCTATAGTGATCATTGCGCTTCTTTGCTTCTTCCAGCCTTTTAAAGGGGAAGGCTGGGAAGCAATGCAAGAACAGTCTCTGACTTAGCACAAGGCAATTTCAACTTCACTCCGATGCGGGCGATGACCTCCCATCAAGGCATATAAAAACAGGCTGATGAAGGGAGGTTGGCGTTGCAATGAAATCAAGAGAAACACCGCTACTAGTAATCCGCTGGGTTTTTTTGGGGAACAAATCTGCATCTTCCCAACAATTAGGATGCATCGCCCATCCTGGCCGTGTGCGGCGCCTCTGCTGCATCTGTTGGAGACCTGCTAACTTAAAAGTCTTCCACCTTCTACTCCTTACCATGTCAAATAAACAAAAAAAAAGACACCAGCAACACACGAGTGAATCGCGGGTGCAGACGGGTCCATCGATTAAAACCGCATCTGTTCTGTTGTGCAAACCTGAAACTGACGATTGAAAAAAAAAAAAATGGCTGAAATGCATTCGGCGTAGATGGAGGCCAAGCCAGAGGGACGCTGGAGCAGTGATTGGGCACGGCTGTGAGCTGGGTGATAATGTCAGCGGTTGCGTCCCGGTGTGCTCTGGGGGTAGACTGCATTTTTTTGAATATGTGAACAGCTAAAACTTAAAACTCGCTTAAAAAAAAAAAAAAAAAAAAAGCATATAACAAATTCAGTTTTAGGCTTAATGAGGGGAAGCTGGTATTTCTACAATTTGTAACACCTCCTATTGTTTGTGTGTGTGTGTGTGTGTGTGTGTGTGTGTGTGTTGTGTACATGTGAGAGGAGGGAAAGGAAAGGAGAGAGGGAGAAAAAGAGAAAGAGAGACCCACAACAGTGTGCGCTAACCTGACATGAACCTGTTCTCCCTTCAGGCTCCCGTTCTCCACTCATCTGCTGCTGCTAATTAATACCACTGGGGAGGAGGAGGGGAGAAGACAGAGGGATGGGAGGAATTTTCTCTCTTTCTCTCGGAGTTCTTACTGCTCAACACCGGCTTTGTTTCTCCTACGAAATAAACCACCTTCTCTCTCTCTCTCTCTTTCTCTCCTCGTCTCTAGTATACCAGAACAGCCTGGTCCACCTCTGCCTCGCCCTGCTCCTCCTGGAGAAATGCTCCAGCAGTTTTTTCGGCTGCTCCACTTAGTGGGTCACTGGCTGTTTGTGGCCGTCCATCAAGGAAACATGTGGCAGTTTGGGTGATGAAAAAGGCGACCGGCTCGCCACGCAACCATCTGTTCAAAAAAAAAAAGAAAAGAAAACTTTCCTGCGGGTTGGCGGCGGTGGATCATTAACACGGAGTCCCATCACTTCAGCAGCCAGTCTGTCTTAACTTTACTAACCTACTGTTTGTTTATCTACACACTCTTTTCTTTTTTTTTATTACTCAAGCAGTTTTTGCACACCTGTACACTACTTGCAATGTCTGCACAACCCCGTGTATTTCAGACTTTGCACACTCTTGCACTTTTACCTCTCGGACGCGTTTGTCCTCTGCTGGGCCCGAGCGGTGCGCCGAAAAATTACTGACATTAAAAATCTCTTTTTGGCCTAAATTTGTTCTTGTCATTAAGCGTGGTGCAAGTTTTTCAACACTGTGTCCCTTTACAGTAAGTACTAAACTATATTAGCAGAATGCTCCAAGAACAAGATGTTCGTAGAGTAATATGTACGGTTTGTAGCTTGCAAACTAAAACCACACTATATTGCTCACTGGATCTCTGGATTAACTGTGTGTCCTGCTGTGTTTTGTGTGTGTTTTGTGCACATGTGAGAAGAAGGAAAAGACACGACAGCAAGAGAGGGAAGGATACGTTTCTTTGTGCGTGCTTGGCAATTACAGATGTGCAAAACAAAATGTGGTCAAAATATTTGCACCTTGTTCTTGAGCTAAATGCTAATTTCAGAATGCAAACGTGATAAAAACGAACATGGTAATGCAGGTTTAATGTTTATCATGCTGACAAATCCAGCATGTTAAACATGTTAACCCTCTAATCTCCAAGCAGTTTCATATTTTACCCTGAACCTCTATGGAAACAGTTCAACCATAGAAGTATAGAAGGATAGAAGTAGGGAGAACTCAAAAACATCTTCTGTGCAGCATAACAAAGCCATAATGCAGATCAATCAAAAAGAATGTTGAATTTCTTTGAATATGTATTTCACAAAAAAACTTGGAATTATTGGGAAAAATACAGATTTTATATACTTATAGACATTTTACTTCTTATATCTTTATTTTTGTTTTCATGCTCATCTCTTCTCTTGTCTATTGTGCAAACACAGCCTGCAGTTCAGCTGAGTTTAAATGGCAAATTGCAAAATTTTTGTCATGTTTTAATTATTATTATTTATTTATTTGTTTGTTTGTTTTTTTTACAGAATTTGTTTAGAGCTGAGGGCTGCAAGGTGGTGCAGGAGTTAGCACTGTTGCCTAAGAAGGTCGCCATTTCACGTCCCGGTGAGGACACCCAGGATCTTTCTGCATGAAGTTTGCATGTTCTCCCCGTGCAGCGTGGGTTCTCTCCGGGTTCTCCGGCTTCCTCCCACAGTCCAGAAACATGTTGAGGTTAATTGTTGATTCTAAATTGTCCGTAGGTGTGAATGTGAGTGTGCTTGGTTGTCTGTCTCTAAGTGTAGCCCTGTGATAGACTGGTGACCTGTCCAGGGTGTCCCCTGCCTTCACCCTAAGTCAACTGGGATAGACTCCTGCCCTCCGCGACTCTAGTGAGGATTAAGTGGTGTATAGATAATGGATGGATGGATGAATGTTTAGAGTGGTTAGAATGGTTTACTAGGGTTAGGGATAGAGGACCGTGAGAAACCTGAAAACCTGAAACCGGTTTCACAGTTTCTAGTTCCGATAAATGGTCTAATTTTGACAATTTGTAAATGTATAGCACGGTTTTTAAGCTCGCTGGCAGGTTTTGGGTTCAGAGCTTTAACATACGAGCATTTGCACTAAACAGCTACATGGCTACAAATCTCATCCTGATGTGGGATAAAACATCATTCTGGATATTGTAGTCATATCATGATATACCTCACATTAAAGCTTTCCTGGTCTCACTGGTGGCTTTGAGGGACTTAATGCCTTTATCACACTTATTTCTTAAAATGTCTCTTTTTTTATCTTCAAAATAATTGTCAGCATTACGTCAATACATTTTCATTTCACATATATTTACATTTGCTTTACACAAGCTCGTGTATTGAGTCAGTTACAGTTCTGACTGTTCCATTTCATTTGCATTTACTGTACTTTTAATTTACAGTACGGTGATCCTAGCAGGCATATTGTGACCACTTCATTTCTAAAGTTTAGTGGGCCTTGCAGAATTAAGTCACACTTTATACAGACACACTCTCGCTCTCTCGTTGCCACCCACACGAATCTATAAAATGGTCAATGACACATAAAACTGATTCTTTTTCTTGTCACCGATGGGAAGTTGAAAATAAAGAAAGAGGCAAAGAAAAGAACGATTTTTTTTTTTTCCACACAGCTAGCTGCAAGGACATACAAACGGTGTGTGTGCGCATGTGGGTGTCTTTGTTTGTGTAACTGCATACAGAAGGAGACCGTCCTTGCATCGGGAAAGCATGTGCACGCATCGCACATACGAACGTCTCCTTCCCTAAATGCTACAGAAGCAGTAATCTCTCACTGAAAGCGAATAGTCATCATCAATAAATGTACTGATTAGCGGTGCTGTGAAGTAAGATAATGAGATTCACTGCTGTGTCCTCCTTCCACCCACTCCCTCGCCCTGCCTGATTAATGAGCGTTTTGGGCCGGGGCCATGCCATTCCTGCCCAATAGGTGATGGATCACACAGTCGCAGGCGTCGTGTGCGACTGTCTTTGTGTGAAATGTGGAAACGGACGCTGATTGAATCCCAGAACAATGGAGATGAGCGTAACTATATATGCACAACTTAAACACACACACACACTGCAGGAACACATGTCTAAATACAGTAGAGTCTGTGTTTGTTCTCTGTATAAGCAAACAATCTCAAGGCAAAATGATCTGCGTGTTTATGTTTTCACAATCTACTTCTGCGAGCACATTGCATTATATTCTGTATTCTACCACTCCAGTTAAACAACTATTTAACAACGATGTACTTACAGAACATCACAAAGTGGAAAGTTGTTTAAAAATAACTATGGAAAGATAAAAATATAGATATTCTGTATAATTTGTTTTGCTTGACTACGAGCGTATATATGCGCGTTCACACTGTATATATCATTTTGACTGCAGACGAGAACGCACCTGCAGGTACAGCTCCCACAACACCTCCTGATTTTATGTGCAATTTTTAGAGAGTGGAGATTAAGAGTTCTATCACAGAAAAATAAGGTCAAACAGCAGTTTTTGCACGCTTATTATTAGACGTGCGAGGCTTTTGTGCATGTATGTGTGGTATATGTGTGCAATACGTGCGCGCGCGGAAACGGATGCTGCCGCTGCTGCCGTTTAACGTCGGCTGCAGCATCCTGGACTTGACGAGGTTAGTTATATAAGGCAGGGCTCGATAAGCATGGGTGAATTTCTGACAAAATGCAATGTGATATAATGTGATGTGTGACAAAAAGTCAGATTTTGGAAACACGCTTTCGGGTGGGGAAGGGAGACAGAGGAGAGGAGACCGTGTTTGTATGTGTGGATCAGCCACAGAAAGTGATAAGTGATCGAAGAAAGAGGGATGAGGCTGACAGGGACGGATGAAAATGTTACGTACGTGTGTGTGTGTGTGTGTGTGTGTGTGTGTCTGTGTATGTGTGTGTGTGTG